AGTTCAACATGTTTCTGGCCCTACCCATAAGGATAATCACACACTTGATTTGATGATCACTCGAACGTGTGAGGATATTATTGAGAGTTGGTCAACCTTGAATCCTCATTTGTCTGACCACTCAGCTATCCATTCAAAACTATCACTTGCCAGGCCACGTCCACCAAAAGTCAAAAACAATATCGAAAATTTAGTGGTGTTGATCCAATTGAATTTCGCAACGATGTCATGGCTTCCACACTTTTCTCCTCACCTGCATGCAATGTGAATGATTTATGTGATCAATATGATAGTGAATTGAGCAAGGTTGTTTATGTGCATGCTCCATTGAAAACACGCTTTGTAACCTCTCGTCCATCTGCGCCGTGGTATAGTGAGGAAATTGCCGCAGAAAAACGCAAACGTCGTAAATTGGAAAGGCCTTGGCGTGAGTCTGGAACTGAAGCAGATAAGCTGCAATATGCCGATCAGTGTAGTAGAGTTCGTAAGCTCTTGAAATCTCCAAAGATGAGTTATTACGCTTGGCTTATTAATGAAAATTAATCGGATTCCAAAGTTTTATTTAACACCATAGACCGTATGCTGCATCGTACGCCTCAAAACCACTATCCATCCTGTGGCTCTCCAAAGGAATTATGTGATAAGTTCGCTGACTTTTTCGGCGACAAAATTGTGACAATCAGGCATCAACTGGATACGTTATCTTTTACTGATGCTCCTGCTTTTCCATTGATTGATGACGCCATAATTACATGTAAAGTAGGCGAATTTTCTCCCACTTCAGAGGATGAACTTTCTAGTCTCGTGAAAAAAATCGCCACCAAATCGTGTTCTCTTGATCCTGTACCTGCTTTTCTTTTACCCTGTTGTATCGATGATTTACTACCTATTATTAAAAGCGTCGTAAACCTTTCATTCAATTCAGTTTCAATGCCAAGTTCCATGAAGAATGCAGTGTTGTCTCCTCTGCTAAAGAAACCGTCCCTAGACTTTGAAATTTTTTCTAACTTTCGACCTGTATCTAACCTGAAGTTTGTGTCTAAAGTTATTGAAAAAGTTGCAGAAATGCGTTTGACGAATTATTTGTGTGATAACGATCTGAATTAAAAGTCTCCAGTCTGCTTATAAGAAACACAACAGTTGTGAGACAGCGCTTCTACGTGTTCAATATGATATACTGAAATCAATCGATGATAAACAATGCGTCGTTCTCTTGCTGCTAGACCTATCAGCAGCCTTCGACATTGTCGATCATAAGATATTGTTACACAGACGGCGATCCAGGTTTGGTATAGAAGGAAAAGCTCTTTCGTGGGTTCAGCCTTATCTTAAGGATCGTTCCAGTCAGTTCAGATTGATGGATTTACCTTTTCAGTTCGTCTGCTCAGATTTGGTGTACCCCAGGGGTACGTGTTGGGTCCGCTGCTGTACCTGTTGTAAACGGCCCCACTAGGTGACCTAATACGATGGCAGGACATGGACTTCCATCTATATGCTGATGATACTCAACTGTACACCACCTTCAGTTGCGATGATAAGGATGATGATCTTAAGGATGATCGATATCACCAACTGGATGACTACTAACAAATTGAAACTAAATACTGACAAAACGGAACTTCTCATTCTCTATTCGAGGTTCAGACTGCCCCCACGGCTACCTTCTATTAAAATAGGAGCTGATATCATCAAGCCTACAAATAAGGCGCGTAATATCGGCGTAATTTTTGATAACACCGTAACGATGTCTTTTCATATTAACAACATAGTTAAAGTGGCATCCTACCACCTTAGAAATATAGCTAAGATTCGTAAGTATATCAATGTCACAACGGCTGAAGTTCTTGTGCACGCATTCATAAATTCAAAGCTGGATTTCTACAACTCGCTTTTACATGGTCTTCCCAAGTATGAAATTAACAAACTGCAAAGTTTCCAAAACGCTGGAGCGCGTGTGATTGCCTGCTTAAGTAAGTTTGATCACATAAGTGATACTCTAAAGGAGTTGCACTGGCTACCAGTGTAGCAAAGAATAATCTTTAAGATTAATCTTATTTGTTTTAAGATACTCAGCAATTTAGCTCCTGATTATTTGGTTGACCTAATCCATGTTTATGAACCTGCAAGGTACCTTCGATCATCTTCAGACAAGTGGCGTCTTGTTATTAAACCGTATAACTTAAAGACATACGGTTTCAGGGCTTTTTCAGTCATTGCCCCTATACTCTGGAACGATCTGCCTATTGACATTAGATCTATCGATGGTGCAAATAAGTTTAAATCTAAATTGAAGACCTTTCTTTTTAAGCGAGTTTACGAACTATCTTTGGTTTTTTATTTTGTATTTTTGTATATTTATATGTGATGATTTTAGGATTTTTATTTTTTATTCAGACCTTTTTCAAGCATTGTAAAGCGCTTAGCACTGAAAAGTATAAGCGCGATATAAATATTTTATTCTTATTATTTATATATTATGTTATGAAAGCCAGTAAACATCAAAAATGAAAACAACAATGCTTCAGTTTACGTTGGAAGCTCCCTGACCATGCTCAAGACTTTTTTTTGTTCAAAAATTGCGCCTGAATAAATTTAGGCGATGTTTCTATGTTTAAAGGTTGTACACGGTCAGGTCCAACGGCTTTCATAACCATTCCACTTTAATAACTATGCTATGTGGGTTGCGGGAGTTAAGATCGTTGCTGATGGATCACCCCACTGTGCTACACCCGCGATAAGAGTGTCAAGATATATGGAGACTGATGTC